ATCAGTTCAGTGACACAGAAATTGTGAGGGCGGTCCTCAGAGTTATCAAACCTGGAAATTTTAAGGAGATGTTAATGAATAAGGATGATTTGACAGTAGAAGAACTTAAAGCCTTTCTACACTCCCATCTTGGTGAGCAAAGCAACACAGAGTTTTTCCAGGAGCTCATGTGTACCAAACAAAGGGAACACCCCAACAATTCCTGTACAGAGTCATTGGGCTTAAGCAAAAGATCTTATTGGCTTCAAAACATGCTGACACAGATGTTAAGTACAGCCCATGCACAGTTCAAGACATTTTCATTCATACTGTGTACCAAGGCCTTGGGCACAAGCATGATGATGTTCGCAGAGAACTGAAACCCCTTCTAGCTGACCCTGGTGTAACTGACGAGGCAATACTACGACAGATGAGGAAAATAATGAGTGATGAGAATGAAAGACAGAGACGTTTGGGGTCAGCTCCTCGCCAGAGACCCACCAATTTACACAGTGTTCAGGCTGAGGCAAATGCCGCCCAGTATCCAAGTGCAAAAGAGGGACTAGGCAGAACACCACAAGCTGATGGGGACCAACAACTAAAAGAAAAAGTTAAAAAACTCACCACGCTTGTTGAGTCACTACAAAAATTAACTCAACAACAAGCATCTGAACCAAATAATCAGCCACCAAGACATAACAGGGTCAAGCAAACAGGAAGACGGTATGGCTGCATGAAGTGTCTGGAGCAAAACCGTCCTGACTGGACCCATTGTTTTCACTGTGGTGAGGAAGGTCACAAAGCAGTGGGCTGCCTCCAGAGACCAACACGTCAGGGAAACTGGAGCCGGTCCCTGCCGGGGGACAGACAGTGACCGGGCCCCAACAGTCCCTACATGCAACAGACCAAATTTGTGAGGCTGAACAACAACATGCTGTACCCATCTGTGTACCCACACAAGCCCCGGGAACAAAAAACCACAACCACAGACAGTCAACCCACTTGACAAGTACAACCAGCCATAACTCATCAAACAGCAAAAGTGACTGTCTAGTCAAGCTCATTGGGAGAAAAGCTTTAACCCAGTGTAGTTTAAATGGTTTTGCTGTCACTGCTTTACTAGACACAGGTGCTCAGGTGAGCATGATCGATAAAAGCTGGAAAGACAAATACTTACCAGAAATTACTGTCAAGCCACTCAGTGAAATACTGGATGATGAAGATGACCTAAAAATCTGTGCCATAGATGGGGGTGTTATCCCATATGATGGCTGGTTACCCATTACTGTTAATTTGATGGGAAACACAAATCCTGATCTGTCTATTAATGTTCCTTTCCTGGTCAGTAGTCTTGCCTTGGAGAGACCATTGCTAGGATTCAATGTTTTGGAGGCAATGATACAAGAGCAGCCTCAGAATCTAGCTCCAACACTCACCAGCCTGGTGTGTAACGCCATTTCCATTCCAGTGGAGACGGCCGAACTCCTGGTGAATTTTATCCAGACAGACAAGCTTACCGTACAGTGGGGACAACTACGAACAGGCAAACAAGACACAGTCATTCCAGCTGGCCAAGTGGCCTGGGTCAAATGTCAGGTTCCATTTGACACCATTTTCCCTGACTCTGTTGTACTGTTTGAACCTGATGATGACAGTATACCCTTAGCTGAACTGGATGTGGGAGCAGGTGTTTTAGAGGTCCACAATCCAAACAGACCCTATGTGGCTGTACCTGTTGGAAACAATACACAACATACAATCACTGTACCAAGAAAAACTGTTCTTGGCAACATTCATGAGATTGATAAGGTGGTCTCAGCAAGCTCAGCTGAAGCACCGGACTCAGTGGTGACTGTTAACAGTGCTACTCCAGCACCCACCAATCTCAGTCAGCCTTCATGGCAACCTCCTGTAGACCTCAGCCATCTAGATGAGGCTCAAAGGGCAGTGGTGAATAAGATGCTTTGTGAAGAAGCTGGAGCTTTTGCACGAGACAGCCATGATATTGGGTGTATACCCAGTTTACAAATGTCGATCACTCTCCAAGACCAGGTTCCTGTAAGAGCCACCTACTCTTCTGTTCCAAAACCTCTCTTTAGAGAAGTGAAAGAGTATGTACAGGATCTGTTACTTAAAGGCTGGATAGTCAAATCCAAATCCCCATATGCTGCACCGGTTGTGTGTGTACGGAAGAAAGATGGCAGCCTGCGGCTATGTATTGATTATCGCCTCTTAAACAAAAAGACGGTGCCTGATCGACACCCACTACCCAGAATAAAAGACTTGACCGACACCCTTGGAGGAAATGCATGGTTTAGTATTCTAGACCAAGGCAAAGCCTATCACCAAGGTTTTGTTGCAGAGGGGTCGCGCCAATTCACCGCCTTTACCACCCCGTGGGGTGAGTGGGTTCGAATCCCATTTGGGCTTTCGAACGCCCCTGCAACATTTCAGCGGAGTATGGAGGAAATGTTAGGACCACTTCGAGATGAGTGCTGCATTCCATACCTGGATGATGTGCTCTGCTATTCCAAGTCGTTTATGGAACATGTCGAAGCACTCCGTCAGGTCCTACAGGCCCTCCAGCGTCATGGAGTGAAACTGAGGGCTGAAAAATGTGAACTGTTCAAGTCAGAGGTTCGATATGTGGGTCGTCTTGTGTCTGCAGAAGGGGTCAAAGTAGATCCCCATGATTTGGAAGCAATCCACACACTGACTAAAAAGCAACCAACGACAGTCGGAGAGGTTAGGAGGTTGGCTGGATTTCTCGGCTATTACCGCTCATATATCCAGGACTTTTCCTGGATTGCTAAACCGATCTATGAGCTGCTTCAGAATAAATCGGGTACAGCTCGAACTTCAGCCCAGAGTGGAAAGGCCAAACAACCCCAACTGCCTTCCAGAGCACCAGTTAGCTGGACCACCAAACACCAGGAAGCTCTTGAACAGCTAATTAGTGTCCTAACAAAGCCACCTGTCCTGGCATATCCGGATTTTAGTCTACCATTTATCCTGCATACCGATGCATCAGACCAGGGGTTGGGA